GGCTTCCCCAACAGCCACGGGCCCGTTTCTCCGCAGGCGCTCGGACGAAGGCGCAGGGGCTAAGCTGGGAGGCGACGAAAGAAGAGGCTTTTCTCCGGAGCGGGACGCAGTTTTCGGACGCCGAGGGGCTGGCCCTCCCGCAGGACGGTCTCTATTACCTCTACTGTCAAGTGGGCTACCGGGGCCGCACGCCCCCTGCCGGCAGGGGCCCCCCGGGCCGCTCGGTCACGCTGCGCAGCTCGCTGTACCGGGCGGGGGGCGCCTACGGGCCGGGCAGTCCCGAGCTGCTGCTCGAGGGCGCCGAGACCGTCACCCCGGCCCTGGACCCGGCCGGGGGCCACGATTACGGGCCCCTGTGGTACACGAGCGTGGGGTTCGGCGGCCTGGTGCAGCTCCGGAGGGGCGAGAGGGTGTACGTCAACATCAGTCACCCCGATATGGTGGACTACAGGAGGGGGAAGACCTTCTTTGGCGCCGTGATGGTGGGGTGAGGGTCGCCCGCGTCCCTGGGAAAACGACTGCATGGTGCGAGTGGATGAATCGGACCAGATATTGGGGGCCCAGACACCCAGGACCCCATGGCAGTGGGAGACGTGTAGGAGACCGGAAACTGATTTTGAGCCTGATGAAATAAAGTAAAGCTTTAGTGCTGCCAATGCGGATGCTGAGATGCTAACGTGTCTTAATTCAGGATGGGTTTACAGGTGTGGCTTAAATATTCTCAGTATTTTTCAAAACAGTTCATAACACTGCCTATGGCCTTTGCTCCCAGGGGTAGTGGCCCGCTTGTCCCACCGACCCCTGACTCTGAATCACCAGGCCCCAGCATTAGTGCAGCTAGAAGGCAAAGGAAAGGTAACTCAAACTCCGAAGCATCTCCAAGCATCCCGACTCTCAGGGCTGCATGGTCCCAGTCAGACTTGGCAATACACTCTTTTCTCCTGGGTCCCTCCTGATAATGAGAGAGGTCATTACAAGGGAAGGCAAGCACCACTCAGAAACACCCAGCTGCACAGTAAACCCCTAATATGGCTGAGGAATGAAGCACTGAGGAGCCCATGGCTGCCCGAAGACCTCTTTAGCCCCTACCCCACAGTCAGCTCTTTTCCTGCAAGGAGCAGTAGCCAAGTCTCACAGGGTCTGCAGGGAGGAGGCTGAAGGAGAAAGTAGAGAGGGTGTTTGACATGGGTGGGGAGTGGGTGCCCGAAAACACCAGGAGGAGCCTGGGGAAGAGGGGGCAGAGGAAAATCTGATGCCATGGAGTCCCATCCAGGGTGGAATGGAAAGTCCTCACCCTTTGTTCACACTTTAGGTCCCATTTCCCCAAAGTGGGGGACCCTGGGATGAGTAACAGCAGTCCCCCGCTGATGACCTACTTTCAGCCCCAGGCTGGAGGAGGCAGAGGGTGACCCAAGGCCCTTTCTAGGTCACCCCAGTGGGTCACCCCACCCCGCAGCACATTGCACAGTTTTCCCCTGCCTGGCAACCCTGTGGCCGGAAGAAAACCCAACTTCTGAGCCCAGTGGGGGCTTCATTTCCGACTCCATATTTGTCTTTGACTCTGTCCAGAAGAGCCTTCTTGGGGGAAGGGGGTGCTTTTCTCTTTCAGTTCACCCATCTCACCCCCCCCAACATTCACCAAAAAGATCAGTGAGTCAAATCTAGCACCTTCACCCACATCTTATTCTTTGTTTTTTATTTTCTTCAGTCTGTCCAATTTCACCTACTGGGAGAATGGAAGGGGATAGAACAGCTGCCAGAATGCACTGAAAGCCCACTGTGCCAAGTGCCAAGAGCTGAGTGGGTGCTCTGATGGAGGCTGGGTCTTCTATTCTCATGCACCCCATATGCCTATGCAGTAGGCGTTCTGTCTCTATTTGATAGATAAGATTAAGTGACTAGTTCCGGATGCACAGTTAGGACAGGGGTGGGCGGGGGTCTGGGATTGGGTGATTTGGAGCCTAGATGGCTGAATCTCTGGAAGTCCCTTGGCTGTGATTCAGGTGCCTGAGAATGTGGCTCCTCCCCAGCTCTCTCAGGCTACAACAGCCGGAAACCTCACCTGAGCTGCAGGACTTTCCCAGCAGGGATTGGAATTCCCGGAGTTGGAAATTCCAGTTCCCTGATGAAGAGGTAATTAGGTTCAGGCTCCTGTTTCCTGGGAGAGGGGAGACGTTCCTTTGGGCTTTGTTTATACAGGGTCTCCTGGGCCCCAGGAGTCTAAGTTCTGAGGACTGGGTTGAGGATCTTAAGCCCTGTGGAAAGACGACTTCAGGGAGCCGCCACCCACCCCTAAGGAGAGGCACATGTAGAATCAATTCCATGAAAGAGACCATGTTTCTTTTCTAAGCAAACTTTATTTCTCGCCACTGACCGGTAGGACGATTACAGACAAAACTCCCCTGGGGAGCAGAGGTTCAGCGATGTAGCGACAGTTGGTCACCAAATCAGCATTATTTAGACAACTTGATCAGATAAATATTTTTTAAAAACATAAGCAAAAGGAGGTATAGAGGCCAGGAAGCTAGGTGAGAACGGCCTACAGTTCAGCTCCGTTTTCACAGAAAACACGTCTGAGTCAAGGCAGCTCCTGTATTGGGTCCCTCTGGTTACCCCAACCTCCCAAATAAATACATTCATCAGTAAATAAATAAATAATAAATAAATTATAAATAATCACAAGTGCAAACATAAATAGAGGGGCCGGCCCCATGGGGAGGGCTGGGCTCCATGTCTCAGGGAAGAGCCTGGAAACCTCTGAAGAGAGAAAGGCTTGAAGTCCATCATGTCAAGTTCTAGGTGATTCCTTCTCAAGGGATGTTCTGAAGCTTTCTGGCCAGAACCAAAGGCTCCCTGGTCCCCATATTCCAGATGTCCGAGGTTGAATTCAGGGACCAAAACCTGAGGCCCCCAGTGGGTTCTAGAAGCCCCAAGTTTGAATTCTTGGTGGTGCCCCATTATCCAGGCCACACATCCCTGCATCCTGGGTTTCTAAGTGGTTTGGTTGTTCAAAATGCTAAGCCTGGGGTCCAACTCTGAGCCTGTAATTCATTTTCTTTTTTTTTTTTCTTTTTTTTTTTTTTTCCCTTTTTGTTTTTTTTCGTGACCGTCAACGGATCGCAACCCTCAGTGTCGCGCCCACACCAGACCGGGACCAGCAACGGGATCGGGACTGGCAACGGGATCGCAACCCTCGGTGTTGCACCCGCACCTCGCTCAGCCAGTGAGCGGCCGGTCTGTATGTGGGATCCGAACCCTCGGCGGGAGCGTCGCCATGCTCCCAAGCGGCGCACTGTAGCAGTGCGCCACCGGGCTGGCCCCTGTAATTCACTTTCTAAGCTAGAAGAGGATGAGGGGGACTGAAGAAGCAGATAATAAAAGGATTGAAGTGGATTAGTGGTAGGGGAAGGATGAATGTCCATCCTCCTCACAGGGCAATGATCCCAAAGTAGACCTGCCCGGACTCGGCAAAGTCAAGATAGTTGGGCAGATTGGTCTCGGCACTGAGTCGATCACCCTTCTCCAGCTGGAAGACCCCTCCCAGGTAGATGGGCTCATACCATGGCTTGGCTTCAGCCCCCTCTGGGGTCTCCCTCTGGCAAGGACTCTTGATGGCAGAGAGGAGGTTGACCTTGCTCTGGTAGGAAACAGCAATGCGGCTGATGGTGTGGGTGAGGAGCACGTGAGTGGAGGGGCAGCCTTGTCCCTTGAAGAGGACCTGGGAGTAGATGAGGTACAGCCCATCTGATGGCACCACCAGTTGGTTGTCTGTCATCTCCACACCATTGGCCAGGAGGGCATTGGCACACCGGTTCAGCCACTGGAGCTGCCCCTCAGCTTGGGGGTTTGCTAGAGGGAGGGAGGGAGGGGTGAGTCAGTGTGACCCTGTCAGTTCACTCTCCACATCCTGTCCTCAAGTTCTGCCCACCCCCACATCCGGTTCTTGTCCCCTCTGTCTGTCTCCCCATGTTCCACCTGGCCATGAGATTCTGAGTATCCCTCTGAAGGCCTGTGCTCTTCCTCCACCCTCCCCTAGAGTTCAGCGAGTCCTCCTGCTGTCTCCAAGGTCTGTCTACCCTCAGCCTGGGTTCAGCCCCCAAATCCTATCCTTCCAAGTCCCATCTGCTCCTTCATCCTCAAGACATCCTCAGAACTCTTACCTACAACGTGGGCTACAGGCTTGTCACTCGGGATTCGAGAAGATGATCCTGGGGAGGAAGGAGGAAAGAAACAGGTGAGACGCTTAATATTCCCAGAAAGTATCCCCCTGCTTTGGGCCGGCCTATGGCTCGCTCGGGAGAGTGTGGTGCTGATAACACCAAGGCCATGGGTTCGGATCCCATATAGGGATGGCCGGTTAGCTCACTGGGTGAGTGTGGTGCTGACAACACCAAGTCAAGGGTTAAGATTCCTTTACTGGTCATCTTTTTTTTTTTTTAAAAAGAAACTATCCCCCTACTTTGACCTTCATTCCTCCTCCCCAAATCCAAGAGTCTAAATTTCCCCCACAGCTTCCTTCCCAGGACCACTCCCCCCTCCCTCCACCAACTCAAACCCAGGATGAGGAGAGAGGCTTTGGACACACTTACTGAGTGTCTGGGCCAGAGGGTTGATTAGATGGAGGCCATTTGGTAACTGTTGGGGAGAAGGAGAAGGATTAGCATCAGAGGAAGTCTCCCCCAAAAGAGAAACAGCTGGCTGCTTATGTAGCTTGTGCTCTCTGCCCAGATGTCTGGTTTTTCTCTCTCCATTCCTCCATTTATTCATCCATCCATCCATTCAACAACTCTTTCATTAAGTGCCTTCCATGTGCCAGAACTTTGTCTTCATCTCTCCTTATCTCTGTGTCCTCATCTGTCTCATTTTTCATATCTCCCACATCTCTATCCACATCTCTTTCTGTTTCACCATCTTTATTCATATCACTTATTTCTTCCCTATCTCTCCACCCACACCTCGCATTTGCATCTCTCTCCACATCCCTCTTTATGTAGGTACATCTGCTTGCCCATTCATTCATTCACCCCACAAATATTTAGTGAGCAATGTGTGCTGTTGCTTCATCTCTCTCTCTCTATTCCCCGATCTCTCTCCAAATCTCTCTACCTCCCCATTTTTCTCCACGTTTTTCCTTCCCACCCCTCCCCATCAGCCCACCTCTTTCCCCCACCCCATCTTTCTTGCTCTCTTTCTCCCCCTTTTCTTTGCTGGCAAGGCACTCACCTCTTCCCTCTGGGGGCCGATCACCCCGAAGTGCAGCAGGCAGAAGAGCGTGGTGGCTCCTGCCACAAGCAGGAAGGAGAAGAGGCTGAGGCACCAGCACTGCCTGGGGCCCTGGGGCCCCCCTGCCTTCTTGGGGAGCACCTCCTCGGCCAGCTCCACGTCGCGGATCATGCTTTCAGTGCTCATGGTGTCCTTTCCAGAGGGAGCCGGTGGAGCCCTGAGGCAGTGTGTGTGAGAGGGAGAGAACCTGCCTGACTGCTTGTCTGGGGGTGTGGCAGCTGAGGGTTATTTCCAGGGGCGTCTGGAGTTGCTTCTCTCCCTCTTGGCTGGTCCCCTTGTGTCCTCGCTGAGGGAGCTTATGCTGGCTGGGTGTGCAGCAGCTGCCTTTATATGCCCGTGGGGTGAGAGGAGGGCGGGGAAAGGCTCTCATTCAACCAGCGGAAAACTTCCTTGGTGGAGAAACCCATGAGCTCATCTGGAGGAAGTGGTAGTGGGCCCTACACCTTCTGTCTCGGTTTCTTCTCCATCGCGGGGGCGGGGGTTTGGAAAGTTGGGGACACCCAGGCATCAAGGATACTTCCCACCCTCCCTACTCGGATTCTGAGGTGGGCTTCCTGGGCCAGTTACCAATATGTGTGTAGGACTCTGGACCCCAGTTGCCCCCTGCCCTTCAATGCCTATTATTTCCATTTATGTTGGGGACCATGTCTGTGGCCTGTTTCCCTCTGATTTCCAAACAGGAGTTATGTGGGGGGTAGAACTAGAAATGGGAGGGGCTTCAGAAAGCTGAGTCCTTAAGGGAGAGAAAACTAGGGCAGGGGGCGCCATGCTGGGTGTTGAGGCTTGTGTCTGGGTCTCTGTGGGGAAAAGGAGCTGGGGGCAGGACAGCTTGAGACTTGGGGGCATGCCTTGGGCCTCTGGAAGGGCTGGGTGGTGGTAGCAGGGACAAGCCTGGGACAGCCCCGGGGGACTGCAATCAACCCTGGGAATTCACGGACCTGCTGGGGTGGGTCTTTTTCTTTCATTCTGACCAGGGACTCAGAGCTGGTTTCAGTTTTGGCTTCCAGGGCACTCTGAGGTCCCTGATGTTTTCATGAAGCCTCCACCCGTCAGAGCCCCGGTGCGTGGCCATGTCTCCTCAAATGTTCCCTGATTCCACACTCCCTAGTCCTGGAGGTTCTCCCATTCCAGAGGGCTCTGTGCATGGCCATGTCTCCCAGCGGTCCCCATACCCCACTCCCATAATTCTGGACATTTCTTCACCCTTTGGTGTGATCATTTCTCCCCAGAGACCTCCTGCAATGCCCATTCTGCAGAGCCCGTACTTATGGCCATACCTCCCAGGGGCTTCCTGGCCCCCTCCAGGCCTTGGACCCCCATTTTTCCTCAGTCTTCCCAGCTTATCCTTTGGTTCCTCTGCAGCAGGCCGGTGCCTCGCCTCCGTGAGTCAGCCACGTATCCCTGGAGCTCCTTGAGCCCCTTTATCTTCTTATTCTGCCTACAGCTCCTATCCCCTCTGAGGCCTCTGTCTCTCCCTCTATTCCTTAGAGAGACCTGGGACATCCTCCCCTCACAGACAGACAGACAAGCAGACAGCATTTCAGAGAAAAGAGGTTTATTGGGCTTCCTTGAGCTTGCAAATGTCTCCCTGTGGAATGTTGGATCAAGCAGCAGCTGGCTTTAAGAGCCTTTTGCATCCTTCTAGAGCCCTGCTAGAGACATACTTCTCTCTGTAGGTCAGCTTTGTGCCAATGCCCTCTCACTCCTCATCTCTCGGGCCTGTTTCTCTCTCTCTCTCTTCTGATGTTCTTCTATCATTCCCCTCTATCTTTCATAAATAAATAATTTAATTATCCCCTTCATAAATAGTCCCCTCCCGCCTCTAGTCAGCCCCAAGCTCCCCCATATGTCTGCTCCTTCTCCATGTCCAGGTCCTCAGCCGAACATCGGGGTGGTTCAGGGAGGTGTGGTCCCTGGGGGTGCCTAGACTTCCTTCTTTGAAAGCTGCAGGTGATTTGAGTGGGGAAGACTTGAGGCTGTTGGAATAATCAAAGGAGAGGTGCTGGTGACCTTTGAAAAGGTCAGAATGAAGGCAAAACGGAGAGAAGGCCTTGAAACCAATTTTTTTTCTTTCTGGATTTTTCCATGTTCTATACAGCAAAAGCTCCAAAGAAGACAGTACTGGGGCTGATGACTAGGTGGGAGATGCTCGTTGTGTAAGTGGACAGCTGGTCTCCCTGGCTGAGCAGGAACACAGCCCCACTGTACATGGAGTGCACCCAAGGTCTCTGCGGCCCTGTGCACACAAACTTCTGGGTGCTGAGGATAGGCACGAACAAGGGGTACTGGGGGGATAAGAGCCGGACCTCATGCGCCAAAAAGATAGGGGTGACCTTTGGGGAACAGGCTTCCCCAGAGAAGACCACCTGGGAGTAGACGAAATAGAGGCCATTGGTGGGGATCAGGAGGGAGTTGTTACTCATAGAGAAGCCATGTTGGAGGAAGGCACGATCCACATTCACTTTCCAGTGCAGCGAGTCCTGTGATCTGGTGTCTCCTAAAAAGAGCCATAGGGGGGGGTAGGGGTTGGGGGTCAAGGGTCTGGGTCAGAGGTCTCAATCCCTGAGGAAGCAGTCACCAGATGACTGAGTTCCTGGGGGAGGGATGGGGGAGAGGTGGGAGTGGACTGCCTCTGTGTTTTGGGGTGGGAGAAGTTAGGGGAGAGGTGAGCTGGATGTTTGGGTCCCTGAAGCAGGGTGGGTGCAAAGCTGGGGGCTACACATCTGGGAGGTCAGGTAGATGTTTACCAACGAGGTGAGCAGCAGGTTTGAGGGTGCTGGGGTCAGTCTGTGCAGCTGAGTGTGAGAGGCCGACACTGGGGAGCCCCTAGGGGAGAAGGGGAGAACAGAGTTGAGGGGGGCTCTAGGGCTCAAGGTTTGACTGGGCCATCCCAGCAGCCCCCATTCTCCTGCTGCCTCACCTGGGCCCCAGGCGGCAGGGCCAGCAGCAGCCCCAGAAGGAGGGGGAGGAGGAGGGCGCCATGTGCCCTTGGGAGGTAGAGACGTCCAGGTGGTGTCATGGGGAGAACCTGCAGGGAGAGAGAGAAAGTGAGTGGGGCGGGGCACACTGCGGAAGACAGACCTCCTGCCTGTGGAGACAGCCACCCCGAGAGACAAGGCGACAGACTGAGAAGGGGACAAGATGCAGTCAGGGAAACCCCAAGGTGAGCACAGGGAGACAGAGAGACAAGAAGGGAACAGAGAGATAGCAGCAGAAACAGGGAATGTGTGAAAGAGACAGAGAGAAAGAGACTGACAGATAGAGAGTCAGAGACAGAGGAACAAACCAAAACCAAATCCACCAGGGCCAGGCCCAAGCAGGTCAGGGACCCAGGCAGCAGGTGCAGGAGGGGCTGTGCCCAGGCGAGGGGAAGGATGCCACAGGGTAGGAGTCTCAGGCCCGGGAGGCCCAAGGAGATGGGGCTGGAGAGTCTCACCTGCTGTGCGGGGTCTCTGGGCCCGGCGGCTTGGGTCCCTTTATAGAGGAAGCGGCAGTGGCAGCGTGGCAGGTGGCGGGCGGGTTCTAGGTCGGGGCTGGGGCCCCGGGGAAGCCCCCGGGGCTTAGAAGATGCTGCTGTTTCAGTCGAAGGCAGGAAAGGCTGAGGCCTAGGAGAGAACCACAAGCTGGGGGCTCAGGCGACTGAGTTCTGGGAAAGGGAGTGGGGTCAGGGGAACCGGGGGCTGGGAGGGCCAGGGAGTAGGGTCAGGCTTAGGAGTTCCAGAGAAGGGACAGTCAATTCAGGGAGGAGGAAGAGGAGCAGGTGGGGTGTGGGCTGGAGGCCCAGTTCCCTGAAAAGAGATCATATATAACACCTCTGCACCCTCGGCTGGTTACAGGCTTCTCTCTTTGCCCATTTCCTTCTCTTGTACCTCCTGTCCTTGTCCTGAAAGACTCAAGTCACACTTGTCCCAGTTTGTGTACAGGTCATCTGACAGGCTTCATCTCAAGAAGTTCCATTATATACCTTCTTGCATGGTGCATACCTATTCCTAGTGAAAATATTAATTGAGCCCTCTCTCACTCTCAAAAGTATCCTGGTTTGGATGATAAAGTTTTTGGTCCCCTTACCCAGATGCCATGAATTCATGTATGATGAGGTCTCATCCCACTCCTGAAGGATGTCCTCCACTTCATCCAGACCTCAGGTGGCCTCCACAGATCAGATTTATATAACCTGGGATAAATACACACTCCAGAATCAATGTGGCAGACCACTTCCACAGTTCTCTGTAGGGGAAGCTTCAGAATTCCACACAGGAGGGGCTTAAGGGTAGTGACCTAGGCTGGGGTGGGGACAGCGAAGGGATTTGTCTTGAAGCTTCATTGGCAGAGCCAATACACTGTTTTAAATTGTTCAAGATTGGGGCCGGCCCGTGGCTCACTCGGGAGAGTGTGGTGCTGATAACACCAAGGCCCCGGGTTCGGATCCCATATAGGGATGGCCGGGTTGCTCACTGGCTGAGCGTGGCGCTGACAACACCAAGTCAAGGGTTAAGATCCCCTTACCGGTCATCTTTTTAAAAAAATAAAAAAAATAAAAAAAATAAATTGTTCAAGATTTGTTCCTTTTTATTAATGTATAACTTAGGGGCAGTGAGGTTTGTATTTCTCAGGTGTGCAACTGATGAATTTTTTCATCTGTATTTAGCCATGTAGCCACCACCCAGTTCCACATGTTTTCAGGTCCCCGGGGTATACTCTCATGCCTTTCCCAAGTTGATACTTCCAAAGATAACCAACCGCTCTCTGACCTCTATTACTGTAGATTAGTTCTTCCCGCTTTTGTGCTTCATATGAATAAAATCACACAGAATGAGCTTGTTTGTGTCTGGCTTCTTTCACGCAACATCACGTTTGTGAGATTCGTCCATGTGGTTGTGAGCATTGGTAGTGCTGTTTTGTTGTTGTGATGTAATATTTTATTGCATGGATATACTCTAATGCATCCTTTTGCTAGTGGACTTTTGGCTTGTTTCTAGGTTTTGGATGATATGAACATTCTTGTACATGAGCCAGTTTTTACTAAGCTTGTAAGTTATAGGTTTTTAAAAAAGTAAAGTTTCTAAAGATGATTTTGTTCTCTTCTCATAAGATTGAGATAATACCAATTGCCAGCCTCAAATATTATTATTACCGTTATTGGTGTCGGGATTTCATTCAGAGGGTTTTAGAGGAGCTGGTGGTGACGGAGGCTGAGGCCCACTGTTGCTTTGAGCACACCAATGCTCTGCTCAGGCACAAGGTTCCTAGAGATCTTGGTGTGCTATGGCACAATAAGTAACATTCGGCGTGTGTA